TCTTCTGTATCGTGCAGTTTACCCCCCTGGCTTTTTGCTCTCAGCAATCTACATCCTTTCATTCAACAAAAAGTTTAATAGCTCAGTCGCTGACAGGACTGTCAGCAAACCTCTCCTCTTTAGTGGAGCATTTATACTCAGAGGAGGTTAAATAAAGTTGATGCTGTAACACTCCTAATAAGTTGTAATGGCTTCCTCCATTTTGGACTCTCTGGTTCTCCGTTCCCTCAAAGGTCAATATTTTCAAGATTACTTCCTTGCTTGGTCAAGAGGTCAAACTCAGACCACCAGAATTAAACTTGACACAAAAACGTGACTGGTTTTGCCACAAAGTTAAACTTTGCTACAACCGGACCTTTACCCTGCTGTTGAAATCATAGGCAGGCAAATTAATAAAGAATGATTTGCTGTAAAATATCATCACAGTTTAAATCCAACTTCTTTTCATGCTGTATGTTAGAGGAATCTCTTATCTTGATTTACCCAAACAATCATGACAGATATGATTATTGACATTAACAGGATCAGATGAGACATTACAGTGAACTTACTTACATGAAAAGCTTATGCTTTTCATCAGTAGTAATCCAGAGAAGCACACAGAATTACTCACAAATCCTGAGTCAATGTTTTCTCAAATATTCACACGTTGTTTTACATGAATATTCAGCTCTCCCTAATTATGTATGAAAGAGCGTTCCCAAATTTGCTGTTGAAGGTGTTAATCGTGTGAAAATTAACTGAGAAAACTAAACTGAGAAGCTCTAAATAGAGATTAAAGATGAATTCATAATTAAAAATCACCCACATCACACTCTCATAATATCACTCACTTAGTTTCAGTTTTATTCACACTCAACACAGCCTCACTCTCCCTCTCGGCTCATTCTCATGCTGCTCTTCTTTCTGTGTCCATTCAGCGCCTGTTTAGCTGTTTTGGAAGTTTCCATGGCAATGATAAAAAAACACTCCATTGGGGACGATGTGGTGCAGAAGTAACATGTTGCCAATTCATAGGGATCACTGGTTCAAAATATAACAACAGCTTTGACTGGCTAACTTGGCAGGTCAGACACAGAAATTCCACCATAAATGTTTTTGACAGAAGAGGGCACATGGTTTAATAGCCAGGGTCCCTTTGAGAGTTGATGGCTGAGTGTTTAATCAAATAAAAGCACATTTGTATGGAGGTATATTGACAAAAAGGCTTGACAGAGCAGAAAACTCATTTGAGCGTTACTGTACTCAGTCTGTGAGTGAACCTTTGAGAGTAAAGAGGCACTTTTTGTAAGAGCAGAAATATATTTATGCATAAGGGAAGGCAGAATCGGGTAAGAATAACCAAAGCTTCATCTAATGAAAATAAAACATGTTTTTTTTAAAGTCTTTGTTAGAACTGTAATAGTATTACTAAGTCAGTATTATCAGTACTTGTTAACAACAATTACCCAAATATAAGCATTTGTATTTGGTCTGACAAAAAGTGGTATCAGTGCATCCCTAATGTGTTGTCACATTACGACTAAAATCTGATTAAATTTGTTGGCAAATGATCTTGTTTTTGAGAGTCATTTTGAGAGTTTATAAGTAATTTGTAGCTCTTTATCATAGTGGCTTCGTGTTAACTTGTATTTCCAATGTATTTATTACCATCATTATTAGAACAATAATTAAAATCATTATAAGAAAACATTCATGAATGAGGCTCATTGTCACTTCTGAGCAGAATGCCCTAATCTAATGAGTCTGATATGGGGTGGTTGGATTTACTGTGATCTGATTGGACTCCATGTGGTATTTAAGACTAATGGTTCAAACCAAATATAATGGTACTGTAATAATAATACAATTATTTTGGACTGTGGCTACATTCAGGCTTTCTTGGAATACGCAAAATGCAAAACTGACATATCGGTATGAATAAACTAGGCAACGGTAACGAGATCAGTTGGATCGCCAGTATAAAGATACACCTCTAAAGTTTATAACACTATTCAATAAACAAGCTCCTGTCCAGGTTTGACTGGCTAACGTTAGGGAGAGAAAAAACTTCTGCCAACAAAAGCCAGTCTGCGCTCGTGAGGGAGGAAGACTGAGTGTTTGCCGACAAGTCACTTCTTGGCCGCAATCTACTCAGTTACTCTGCCTTCAGCTGTGCAGTATTCAATAATGCAGGCGTAATATTGACTCTTAATGTATTTTTTCAACTTTAAATCTGGTCACATTTTACACAAATCTCTGTAAAAGCACAACTCAGTCAGAGAAAGTGAAAAGAGACATTTCTCTTTGAAATTAATTACTTTTCCCACATTTACCATAGTGGTCCAGTCTCGCCTGCCAAATGGTTTTATCAAACCTTTGGGATACAACAACAACAAATCTTCCCTTAAAAAGAAATTGCATCATTCTAGTTTTCGTCTAGTCATAGTCATTCTAGTCCGTCAATAAAAATACAAAAACTGACATGATGTCTCAACTGGTTAAAAGCGCATCACACCTTTCTGGACTTTTTATTTTCCATTTCCTCTTATCTCTCTAACTCTCCCGCTGAGTGTGTTGCTGTTTGTGTCTGACTCTGGTTGTATCATTACGTTTCAAATCTTTCCTGCGACCAGAAGCCTGCTGTTTCCTCTTGGGCGTGTTTTTACGTATCTCAGGTCTACCCAGTTTTAAAATCTCTCACCCGTCTGATTTGAACATTAAGCAGCCAGCTGCTTTCTCCGTGTGAGATGTGTCTGCGGGCCACCAGGAGCATGTGACGCTCACGCTGAGTGTGTGTGTCAGTGCACGGTGTGATCCCCTGTTTCTCGCAGACTCTGGCTGCAATGTTATCTGATTCCCCCGCTGTGTTTGCTCTCAACAGGTTTTTTATCATCTGATTCCCCTGCTGTCTATACTCTCAGTAGGTTTTCATTATCAGATTCCCCCGCTGACTCTCTCTGCTCGCTTCCCCCTCTCCTCCTGCTGAATGCAACCAAAATCCTCTCTCTCATAAATGTATTCAGTAAATATTCTGACCTGATCTGTTGAACATGACACCATAACCCGGTCTCCAGGCGGTTCTGCGTTACACAGATTGGTCTGAAACTCCTGCTGTGTATTGATTCGTTGGTGCTTTGACCCACCTGCTGTAATTATAACCAGTGCCACATTCACTCTTCACTTGTGTAAAGCCGGTAACCCAAGTTTCCATTGAAATATACTGCAGATCTGAACAGAATTTCCAGAAAGAAAGTTGGTTGCCATTAAACCATCGCAGTAGAAGAGATACTGATATGAAGATATGATAGATTGGGGAAGGTTACAGTCTCCTCAACGCTGAACACAGATATGATGTCTTTGTCTCTTCACTGCAAGCTTGAGTGATGTTTGATGACCAGTGTGTTGAGATTAAAACAAACTGAATAAATGAAGAAACGTTGGTGGCCACGAAAGGCCAGTGTTTGATTTGTCCGTTCTGGGCTACTGAAACATGGTGGTTCAACATGGTGGACTTCATAGAAGAGGACCTCCTCCTTCTGTAGATAGGTAGTGAAAACACATAATTCTTATTTACCAGTGATTATTCACTAATGAAAACATACCTATAAATATTATATTCCATTTCTGCCAATAGATCCTCCTACATGTTTCACATTGGACCAAGTGGAAGTCAAATGCTTTGTGTACATCATGAATTATTCACCAAGTCTGTTTCGAATGAACATCGTCACATTTAATTAATATTTTGTCTGTTTAAATAGTTTCTGTTTTTCGATTCAAATTTTTCATGCTCAAATAAAAAAAAATTAACCTTACAGACAGGTGGATAAAAACGCACTTAGTGTTCATTTTTCTGTTGTAGAAGCTCTTTGACTGAAGGAGGATTTGCTGACCTAGGAAAGATATTGTTTGGGAAATCTGTATACTTGCACTGCTATTCTGAGACCACACAGACAAATTTATGATAAAGGGAAAACAATATTTGGAAGAGTGCTCACTCTTGATAGATTAATCGGCTGTGGCTCAGGAGCTGGAGTGGGTCCACTAATCAGAAGATTGGTGGTTCGATCCCCTGGCCCCTTTGGGTGCTTGTGGAAGTGTGTCCTTGAGCAAAAACTGAACAACAAGTTGCTCCTGATGCTGTGCCATTGTAGTGCGAATGTGACCTGTAGTGTAGAGCTCTTTGAGTGGTCGAAAGACTAGAAAAGCGCTATATAAGTGCAGTTCAGTTAGAAAGCAGATTATTATACCAAGCATCCTGTACACTGCACATATACAGTATGAGGCCGAGACTGAAATTAGACACCGTGCATTTTCTATTTAATTGTTAATACATAATTTGTCAGGAGGTCAGGAGATATTTTGAGAAATAATTTGTGCTTTAACAATGAAAGAGGAGTTGGACGATGGCTTTTTTGACAGCATCAGACAGGATATTACTGCATTTTCACTATTTTGTACGAGTAATTAGTCTGTGCTATATTTTAGTTTGTATGACAATAAAAACTGCATAACTTACTAGCTACCCACTCACTTTTACCTAATTACATACTTGATCTTGGTCTTGATTCAAAAATGTTCCCCTAAACCATGCTCTCAGTTTAGTAATAATTGCGGGTTATTAATCAGAGAACATGGTTTTCCACACCAATATTATTTCCTTCAGCATAGTCCCTCAGGGGTGGCTTGATAATCGGACTAAATTGCTATTTTGTCTTACTTCATTATTCACTTTAATATGAGTGAAGTGATGAGTAATCAGTAATTTGTGGTTGTAATCGCTTAAAAAACAAAAACAAAAGATGCCTGCAGCAGTTCGGCGGTCTGGACCAGGCTGCCCAGGGGGCTCTGTGGAAGAAAATATGCCAAAATATGCCAAGCTTTGTATTAGCTCCTAAATGCATTGAATAATTCACAGTCAGTGATTCTGAAAATTCTCAACTGAAAAAAGCAACTCTGTAAAACAACCATTTTTGGTATAAGTAAACAGTTTTTCACATTCACATGCTGGAAAACGTTGAAATGTTTGTATTTGATAGTGGTTATGAAGACTGTTGTCAGGTGTTTATTCATTAAAATAAACAAGCTGTAACTTTGTCTTTCTTGCTGGGGCCATCATTTCAGTTTTCTCCTCGGCTTTGCCTCGCAGTACTTGATGTTCCTCAGAAATGTATCTGAAAGCAAGAGAGAGAGACCATCAGACAGAAATAATTAAATATTTGTGGTTCTTAACCTGTGGTCCAAGGAATCTCAGGGATCCTTCCAGGGGGTCCCATGAAATTTGGGAATATTTTAATTTCCACTATTATTTTACTAGCTAAAAGTATGCCATAATGAGAATGTATAGGAATGATTATTCTGATATTATGGAATAACTAAATCTAATGGAGATCCCTGAGACTAAATCTTATCAAATACGGGTCTGATGTGTATCAATTTAGGGTGTCCTTGACACCAAAAAGGCTGAGGACCACTTGTGTACATAGAATAGATTTAACTTTATTGTCACATAAAATCCCCCTCCTCCTCCTTTGCTCCCT